CAATCAAACCGCGTGCAAGCTGGGAGAGCCAGACCGCAGTTCATTTCCTCATATTCCAAACGAGAAATTACGGTAGCAAATCACCCGGTTCTTTACGACCAGAACTATTTACCGGGATACAAACCGGAGGAACCAGGCATGGAGGGAGGTGGCAGAGACAGTGGGTGAAACTGGTAAGTTTTCGCCTGTTTGGGGATTTTATATCCAGTTTACTTCGTTTTAACATTGCTATTGCTTTGTATGTCCGGGGCGGGAGATTCATGTGATTGGTTGTTGGTCGCGTTGCTCGCAAAAAATCCCCAAGCCTCAGATACGCCCACCTCCAAGCGTCAACGCACGCTGCTGTGTGGACGCTCCGTAAGCGCTCCACTTTTTTTATTTCGGGGTATGTGGATATAAACCCTGCTTATCAAAGCTTGTGGAATTTCACACACAGTGTAGGAGTGCTGATGAGAAGTTACTGTTACATTTTGCCATGTAGTTTATACATTCAGGGAGGATTAAAAATACCTGTTGTGGATACATTGACAGCAGCACCTCTGGGTCTCCCTCTCCTCATACTGATTCAGTCATGGCAACAGACACACACAAAGGTCCCAGAGGCATGTAGGAGGAGACGTCCAGAGGAATGTGTGGCGGCTGCTGCTGGTTGTCATGAAAGTGTAGAGCAGGGTTGGGTAACATTTTTCCACTCAAGGGCCATTTCAATATTTTCAACATCCTCCGAGGGCCGTACATATGATTGACCTCTGCTTAAAAAAACTAAAATCACAGCCCATTCATTTGGCCTTTCTTTCATGCTGTGCAAAGAAAAAGCAACCTCTCAATCCAGATATCTCACCATGACTCGTGCATGCATGCACGTGCATGGTTGTGGCATGGCCACCAAAACGGAAAGATATGGACACAAGATGTGTGCAAATGTATTTAGTTTCCTATCCATGTGAACATGATTTAAGAGGGGGGAGGACCTCACCTCCTCTAGGGGGGTCCGGGGGGCATGCTCCACTGGGAAGATTTATTTTTAAATGTTGAAGTGAAAAGCATCAATCTGGTGCACTTTGAGAGCAACATTAGGAGATCTATGGATACATCTCCCAGATGAAACAGAACTGTAAACAGATTTATTTTTCTTTATGGATATTTTACAAATCACTCCCCTTTCAAACTGTATTCTTGTTTATTAATAACAACTTTGTTTTACTGTCATATAGTATTTTATACCTGTTTACTTTATTCTCTTGTTTTTTTAGAACTATAATGATCATATAAAGATGTGCCTTTACCTCACTGGTTGTAGAAAAAGCTTCTTATATTCGTTAGCATAGCTAGCTAACCAGATGCTAATAACAACAAAGTTATTGACTGTCTGATCAGTATGACAGATGAGCAGATCGCCACTGGGCTTTCAACTAAAGACACAGCCACGCAAAAACTGCGGCATGTGTACGGCTCCTTATGGGTACTGACATTTTTGGAAGTGCCGGAGCGGCGTTCTGGTGCTCTCAGTCAGAATTGCACCCCTGTCAGAGGATACCACGTGATGACACGTTAGGCTCGTGTTGTGTTCAAGGACCCTTATCTTGGCAAGGAAAAACAGGTACTCGCTTGTTTAATTTGTTTGCGGTCTAGATTTCTTTAAATGTTTTCTTTTTTGTGTGAGTTTATAAATTACCTCAAGGGCGCTCGCATTGCAGATGAGACAGATGGACTTTGAATTGGAATAGATACAAAAATAATCATCCTCCCACTCGGAGGGAAAATGATATATTTTGGGCTCTTTTGCTTCTGCCATAATTGCGGTCTTGTGTGTGTGCGGACTGTCACTCCTGTTGACACGGACAACGTCAGCGAAATAGTGCACACTGCCCACCAGCCACGCCCCGACACATGGGGTCACGCCGGCCAATCACAAAGCTTTGGTGCGTTCAAGTGCATTATTCTGGCACAGGAAGATTATGTTATAGGACATTAACGATAAAACCGAATATTGTTATTCTATTTTTAGACACATCTCCCGATCGACTGGGAATCTCCCCGCGATCGACCGACCGGTTGGGCACCCCTGGCCTACACCATGTTTTCAACAACTAATGGGGAATCTTATGTTGTGCGATGTTTGCGCCGGAGCCGCTTCATCCAGAAACAGCACTCCGGTTAGAGAGTTCACACGGAGACAAGGAATACAGTCTTTGGACTTTAATTAGCTTGAATGCTTCTTACAACAGCTATAGCAGTATTGAATGCATGTAGAATGATTGCATCATTTATTCTTCACTGACTCACATGGTAAACAAACCGCTCGAGGACCCGCAGCTGCCCACTCCCGCTGTCCCCAAATGTGCCCGACCAAAAAACACAAACGATACAACGCAGACTAAAGAAAACAAGGGGAATTTACAACAACAACACTAAAAGCACTTGGATGTTAGGGTTTTCTTTTAGGTGAGTTTCAGTTTCTACATATCTATATTTTACCTTACTGTTTTGTATGTGCTATAAATGCATTTTAATTGGTGAAAATGTGCAGCTTGAGTCCTAAAAACAACATGAGGCAGTGGTACATTCTCTCAGTGCTTCTCAAAGTGTGGTCCGCGGACCACTGGTGGTCCGTGAGCGCCCCCTAGTGGTCCGTAAGTATATTGGTAAAATTTCACATTTGAAATTAATTAATTAATTAAAGTTTTCCGCACTCTCGCGGGAATATCTCCGCAATGGAGGGAGCTTAAGTTTCACTTTCAATTGCATGATATAGCCCAGATAAACACCTTCATCACACATGTGGCCACTTGTTTGTACCATTTTCAGGCGATTTATAAAAAACAATGTGTTTTTGGATATTTGTGGAGTTAGGTGGTCCGCGAGTGGTTTTTTATTGGTTAAGTGGTCCTTGGTATGAAAAAGTTTGAGAAACACTGCATTAGAGCAATAAGTGATGCAAAAACAATTGTTTTTCCCCACCTCTTTTTTTCATTTTGTAAGGACCTCAAACGTGTAAAAATGATTTAAGGTTTTAAGCCATAATTATAGAAGAGTAACATTTCGATCCGATTTATTAAACAGATAACAGGTATGTTGTTCTTCTCTCTTGCCTTTTGTGGCTTTCGTACTTCTCTGACAGATATGTTCACATCTCCATCTGGAGGATTAAGCTATGAGATTCATTATTTTGAATACGTATGATTATTTCCAAAAGTTGATGACCTTAGTTGACCTTGTAGTTTCCAGATTGAGCCTGTAGCCTGGGCCTCTAGTCGGGTCAGTTGTTTGGGCCTCCTGCAGACAGCAGAGCCTGTTCACCTGTAGGGTATTGTCCTGAGATAATCCCCCTCCCACTGGAGGTTGTCTCAACATTGACCCGGCTCCTGATCAAGCAGTAGCTGTGGAGTCGCAGGGGGCCAGGGGCCAGGGTCCAGCTCAATAAACCCTCTGTACCCCATGACCTTGGTGAGGCTTCTGCACAACAAGTGTGTAGGAAGCATTTCTCCAAGAGCTGTAAACCATGACAAATCTGATCATTTACCATAATCTTCCTTTTGATGCCCACACGTTGTCTTATTGCATATTGTGCCTTGGTATGGTTTTTGTTTTATTATGTCCCTACCTCTGTTTTTTTGTACTGCCCTCAATAATACATGTATAATATAATAATCAAGCATAAATAAATAAAGATAAATTAAAGCGTATATAAATATAATAAAATAATAAATTAAATAAAAACAATACATCTGATCAAAATATTTTATTTACTGAGAAAAATAAATAAAGCTTCACCATAGGTTGGCTGCATGCTCGGTAAAAGATAGTTCCAATGTAGCCCTAACCCTAACCCAATCTTCTTAACCATAAGGTCATATTTCTCACTTAAAGGTGGGGTAGGTAAGTTTGAGAAACCGGCTCGAGATACACTTTTTGTTATATTCCATGGAATGCTCTAAACATCCGATAGCAATGAATATCTTAAGTGCTTTGACAAAAAATCCATACAAAAATGTCATCTGTGGAAGCCGTAATACTGTAAAAGTACATCCAATCCGTTTAGCCGGGCCGGCTAAACGGATTGGATTGCCGCCCTGTCTGTCAGCCTTCCATCTCGTGCACACACAAATGTATCTTATCTGAAGCCAGTTGAGCAGCACTTGAAATGTTTGGCTCTATGAAACCTGATGTACTTATATGATTCTGTTTTCTTCAAGGTTGTGTCTTCCTGGTCGAATGTACTTATTGTAAGTCGCTTTGGACAAAAGCGTCAGCTAAATGCAATGTAATGTAATATAATGTATCTCGTGCCCTCATTGGGCGTGCCGTCATTGGGCGTGCATTGCAGCAGTACTTCAATGACTCGCCAGCAACATGCGGCCACTTTCACCAGTCTGCTGACGTCATGTGCGCGTTCATGTGTGTTGGAGGAGGTGCTCTGTAAGGAAGTCTGAAGGAAGGGGCGGATTCTTTTCGGCTGTGTACTTTCAAATTGTAGTGCACTCGAGCCGGTTTCTGAAACTTACCTACCCCACCTTTAATACATCAATCTTGTATTACAATTAGAAATATAACTTTACACTTCAAGAAAATCACACTTAAATCAAACTTTAAACTCACAAAAACGTTATACGTCTTACGATAATAACAATTGTGCAATATCTCTAATAGAAACAATTTACACAGAAGACTCTAATATTTAATTCAAGAGACATGTCCTTGAATCCCTGTCGCCTCTTTATTCACTCCTTTATGATGAGATCTTCCTGGAGCAAAATCACAATGAAGAACTGATGCCAAAAAAAGTGCAGTTTCACTCCCCATTCTGGAGTCTGTCTCCCTTAGGAAGCAATAAGTCATGTTGATGTTGTGCCTTTTTTATGCCATAAAGAAGAGTAGTGATTTCAAGAATTGTATTTGCCAACACAAGCTGGTACATGTTTGCTCTATTCAAGTACAATGCCAGTCTGCACTGCAGTTTCCTGTTGATTATAATCCATTTCCTGTCTCTCTCCCTCTAGTCCTGGCTGTTGCCGTTGGCCAGGAGCCCGACTACAGCCACGGCTGTGCCCATGGCAGCTGTTACCCGGCAACAGGAGACTTGCTGGTTGGACGAGAGAAGAGCCTGAAGGCCTCGTCGACATGTGGGATGAGGAGAAAGGAGCCTTACTGCATTGTCAGCCATTTGCAGGTCAGTGTGTTTGTGTTTTGTACTGAGTTTTGTGTCTGCACCTCTTGGCCCATTCTCTACATTCTGTCTGTAATTTTGTGTTTCTCATTGACCCCTGAAGTTCTTCACCTTTGACCTTGTAAACTTTTTTTGTGCTGCCACAGGATGAGAAGAAGTGTTTCGACTGTGACTCCAGGCGGCCATATGACCCAGTGTACAACACCATCAATCACCGCATGGAGAACGTCATCACCACCTTTAAACCTCACCGCAAGAAGTCCTGGTGGCAGTCCGAGAATGGTGAGGAGACTCTATTCTCACTTTTTTTATGAATTGACATAAATCTTCAGACAGTCCTCTATAAAAAAAGAAATGGATGCATAGGTGGTCTCGGCAAGCAACTCATCTTGACCCATACTGTATTTACCTTTTTGTTAGGGGGTAACCTCTAGTGGCCATAGTCATGATACGAGAGAAAAAGAAAGTCAATCTACCTTCTCATGAGATGCGATTTACTCTTTCTTCACCGTGAGGATGGGAGCAGAGCCTTGTGGTGAAAGTGAAGTTTCCTTTTTTTGGTTACCTCCCTTGCGAGCTTCTGCCACTTAGCACAGCTTGGCACAGCTTAGCACAGTTGTCAGTTGTCATCTGGTTGTGGTACAAAAGGACATCCACAATCAACGTCAAAGTTGACATATTTTGAACTTTGAGCGCAATGCTCAGCGACAATATCAAGCTTGGTGACATTTAGGAGCGGTTGCACTTCTGCATTTCTATAGAACCAGAACGGCAAGTCAATGCAGAGCTGTTTTACCACTTGTCATGTGAAAGCAGCTTTAGGCGATCTGGAAAGATGCCCATTGTTTGTGTCACGCAGGAAACCCAAAACTCAACTTTTAATTACGTAATTTATTTCACTTACCAAATATGTGAAACATACGTAACTCACATACGTAAACTTACCCTGCCAAAGTATGTTTATGTGACTAAATGAATATGGCCTCTACTTGAAGGTTAAGCTTTGAAGTTAAAGCTATATATATTGAGGCAAGATAGAGGGGAGAAGTAAATGGATATAAAAAGATGAGTCGGTGTATATAGAAGCAGAAATATTCCAATTGGAAAGCAGCAAAGGTTCCTTTAAATGTATTTAAACCACACGAGCAGTAAGAAACTGGTAGCTATAGAGAATTGAAAAGCAGTATTACATTTGACCACAAACACACTCTGAGCAGCTACAGATGGGCTTAATAACAGAGTAGGTCCTGCTCTGGCTCCTAAACGGAAAGAGAGAATGGGGAAAGAGAAAGGAAAAAGCTCTGATGGCAACAAACAGGGAACATTGGGGAAGTATTTAAGACTGAAGTGACAGACGGAAGGGGGACTGATGTATTTCCTCTAACAATGTCAAAGCTGTGTGCAGAGGTGGACACAAGGCTCATTTGTATCTGTTTGTGAGCCATGTTGCTGTGATGGAGTGCTGATGAGCAGCAGTGCAGGCCCAGAATAGAACAGAGAAACAGAAGAAGAAGGGGGACAGGAAGTATCAGGCTATTTTTACCCCTGGTTGCTGCAGCTTTCCATGGCATCTTTAAGGGCATTTCCATGGTGACCGTGGCACAGTGTGCCTGATTGATATGAGTACAGAAGTTTTATTGTGAGTGATGTTTTACAATTTATTATGTATTACTTTCCCAACCAACCTCTATATCAGCAAGATGGGCCATATTGTGCTTTTTGGGGTTTCCCTGTGGTGTGTTCTATAGGTTTCTGTGCATGTAAATGGTCTGCCAAGGCTAACATCCCTGTCTTCCCTGCTGAGGGAGTTGCTCTCCCCCACACTCTGCCATAGTGACATAACTCTGTAACATTCACACTTATTTTAGCTAGCACTCCAACACATTGTACGTGATAGGCTAAAGGACAGGACATCGCTTAGCTGTTGATCAATCACAACAGAGCCAGCCAGCTAACCAATCAGAGAAGACTGGGCTCTGGTTTCAGACAGAGGGTGAAAAGAGGTGCTGCAGCACAGGCAGTATGATAAAAATAAAGAGCTTTCTGAACATTAAAGGATGGAAACATGTCACTGTAGAGACACTGAATACTAATATGAAAATGAGCATATTTATATATATATAGAAACAAACTGCACTCTTTTTCTGTGGACAACTGTACTCTCTTGGCTAGAAAAAGACCAGCACTAACTCCACCGTATGTCACACTTGTTGTGTTGACACAAGATTAATAATCTTTCCAGTGAGAAAAGATGTACTCAGATTGGTAGATAAACCACATTTTTAAAAATATAAGTGTCAGAGACTTGGTCCCAAAATATTACTTAGGTAAAAGTTCAGCACTTTTATTACCAACATTTACTAAAAATAATCAAAGAACAAATATTAATTATGCAGAATTGCAAGTCTTGGAACAATTTCCTGTCAGCATGACTACATTCACCTTTTCATCCACTGCAAGATCATTCTTATATCTTTATTTTACAATACATATGCTGTCTATAATCCCTTTATTGTATTAACGGTGAGTGCAGCAGCCCAGGTTCCTCTAAAGCGGCGATATGTTATTGGTTCCTACACAACGCAACACAACACTGTTATTGGTACTTCAAATTCATGTCCACTTGTCACATATAGCTCTACAAGCTATATGTTGTTTGTTCAAAGTAGCCTTCAGTATAGCAAGTGCTATAGCAGGGTTTACTTAGTCACTTAACAGGCTTTTCTCTCCTCTTTTTTTGGCAACTCTGGGACAGTATTCCACAATAACAACCTCCCACACATTTGAAATATTGTTGAGTGCAGCTTAAATATGTAGGTGGACCATATTTATATAACACAGGATACCATCTGCATTTCTCCTTTGCTTCCCCACTCTGGTTTTGGTTTTACTATCATGCCTTAGGCTGTTTGCCACACACCTTCACACTGTTATTATCTGCAAGTCATAAATGTTAAAAAGGTGATTTCCCCACTATACATGGATGTGTGAGGGCACATGCATTTTTCTAAAACATGTCACTGAGTAGGCCCCAAAACATATGCATATGTTTATCACAGACCTATGTTGTGGTTTGTCTTCAGATCACCAGATTAAAAGTTGAGTGTTAGGTTCTAAAATAAAAAATTCACGTGGTGCCGCTTTCATGTATTAGTGTGCACGAGCGGGGAAATCCTCTCGGCTTGTGCTCTACGTGTACGTGTAATACAGAACAGAGGAGAAGAGTGAAAGTGGTTCTTCAGGATATTTGTTGGAGTATAACTCAGGAAGTGTGTGGGCTTTAACATGCACTCTGCAATTTGTCCTGCCAACACTGAATGAGTTTTCCTGTCAACATGCCATTCCTCAAGCCAAAATCTTGGTTGCTACTTAACTCACTCCTCCTAGCCATAACTCTCAGTTATCCATCTATCTAAAAGTGATGATATAGATGGAACATGTGGTTTATATTGTATTAATACAATAAAGTTGCTTTCATTAACATACTATTTTGTCTAACAGGAAAGTCTGATGTCATTATCCAGCTGGATCTGGAAGCAGAGTTTCATTTCACTCACCTGATTATGACCTTTAAGGTAGGAAAAAAGCGTGATTGTTAACTTTGTTTGGCTTGTATGAGTGGTGCAGTAATGAGTCCTTAACCCGGGAATGTGTTGGCATTTTAGCTTGTCTCAAAGTCAATGGTTTTATGAAATTGTGTTTCGTAAGATGCCTGAAATAATGTTTGTGGTGAAAGTGTTTTGCTCTAAGACATTAAATATATCAGTTAATGTGAATGTCTGAAGCTTTTACATGTCTTGAAAAAGGCGGCTGTTAGAAAGTGACTAAATACCACTCTATTGCCAAGTAGCTGAAAACCATGACTAACATCTCCATTTATATATATTTGTAGCAAATTCATGGCAGAATCTAAGACATTTTTCTTTGCAGACTTTCCGCCCGGCTGCCATGCTGATTGAACGGTCGTCAGATTTTGGTCGCACCTGGCAGATCTACCGCTACTTTTCCCATGACTGCGCCTCTGCATTCCCCGGAGTCTCCCAGGGTCCTCTGCGCAACATTAATGATGTCATTTGCGAGTCCCGCTACTCTGACATTGAGCCGTCAACTGAGGGAGAGGTGAGAGATCGACAACAGGAATATTTAATGATAGGCACAGTATTTGTCCATTGCAAAAATGTAAAGGTGTAGGTAGGCACCTTTTTTAAACTTATATAATCAGGCTAGCTGTTTCCATTCTTTATTCTAAGCTCAGCCAACCAGAAAAGCTTCATTTGTATTATACAGACAGCAAAGTGTTTTTTATTACCTCATGTAACTTACAGCAAGAGAGCAAAAGACAACACCTTTTTGTTGAGCTCATCCTTGACTTGACTTGGTCACTTAGCCACAACAACAACAACAACAACAACAACAACAACAACAACAACAAAAAGCCACATGTTCAGTTTCCAAATTAGCCCTTAAGCTTAAGACAATGTTTTTCACAGATCCTGAGTTTTTAAGCAATTGTGATCAAATAGACAACTTTTGAAACAGAGAGGACAAAGAACCAACGCTCCTGAATAACCCCAGCACAAATGTACACTCAGGAATACAGACCACAAAGTCTGATTCAGTTTAAAGCTACACTGCTTATTCCACTATTAGTTCTAATCTCATATAGTTCATATATGTGTGTCTGTATCTGTGTGGATAATAAGTTTACATTTCTTAACCTAGGTAATCTACAGAGTGTTGGAGCCTTCCATCAGGATTGAGGATCCATACAGCCCTAGCATCCAGAGTAAGTCACACTCATATTTTCAAAAGCGTATTGATAATGAATATTATAATGAGGTGAAGAAAATCAAAAAAAATGGAAAGTAAATATTACCTATAGAGTTTTAGTGTGTCTATGATGGTAAATGGGCACCGGATAGTTTACCTGATAGAGCCCTTGTACCAGTGGCGGCTGGTGCATTTTTCTCCAGAGGGGGCTCTACCAAAATCTAAGCAAATGTATACACAAACACAAAACATGTCATATCACAACACAGGGCTAGCTCAAAGGCACACAGCACTATATACTGTCTATTATTTTAGTGCCTGTTTTTGTCAACCTCCTTATTATGCTTACAGATCCCTATCCTGTAGCCCTCATTGGACAGATGTGTTTACTTTCCTAAACATGGCTAGTCGCATAGCATCATCCATGTGGACTCTAGTTTGTTCATGCTTTTTAGTTTGTTCCGATATGTGCTTTAAGTCACTCACATCTGTCTGGATCATGCTGGGTCTGGTCCATAGACTGGGCTGGTACTGACGTTTGAAGAAGGAGGCAGGGGGAGCAAAATATCGCACTGGTGTTGCTACAGGTAGTCAGTCCAGCCTTCTTGCTAAACCAGCTCCTTGAAAAAGACACATATACTGCCTTCCTCTGTCCTTAACTCCTGCCTATGTCAGGGTTAACAGGTTTGAGCTCTTTTACTTTCAGCTTTCCCTCCAGTGTCCTCCTCTCAAAGGGTGTTTCTTTAAGTGATTAAACATCATTTTCCTTCTCCATATTCGCTATCTAGTTTTGTTTACTCTCCGCCTCCGTCTAACTCTCTCTCATTCAAACGTCAATCACTCACTCTGGCGCTGCTGCTGCCCCCTAGTTGTTGGCGGGGTAAACGGCTGCTTTGGGTGCAGTTTGGTGTGCCCCGAGCTGCTCCTATCTGTTGCATTGAAGAGCTGCTCCGATCACTTGCATTGAAGAGGTGCGGACTGCGCATGCACCACTTATAACGAGAGTCAATGGCCAAAGATTTCTGCGCTCCAAGCAGGAAACACGTGACTTTAGACATCGTAAAACCATTTTTATCGATATTTAATCATTTTTTTTATTTTGACACACCCCTTATCAAATAGGTGTCTACCAATCAGAGTGTAAGTGGTTAAATCCCCAGACCCTACAGTTGGCATGTGGAAGTGTCATTGGGCAAGATGCTCAACCCCAAATTGCTCCCGTAGGTCTGTTTTTTAAAATGTATTTTACCTTTATTTAACCAGGATAGGTCTCATTGAGATTAAAAATCTCTTTTTCAAGAGAGTCCTGGCCCAAGAATGGTAACAGCACAGTTTCAGACAGTTCTACAGTTACAGACAATTAAAAAACACACAATCACAACACAGTCATACACCAAGTTTCGCCAAAGCATTTACAGACACAGCGGCCTGCTTCAAGGTCAGTTAAAGTTGCTTTGAGTATTTCTAATGAGACCAGCTCTCTGAGTTTCAGCTCAGTTTGAAGCAGGTTCCAAGCTTGAGGGGCAGCGTAACTGAACGCCCTTTTCCCAAGTTCAGTACGGACCTTTGGTACCTGTGGCATTGAATTCAATCGATTAGACAAACAATGACAACATGTTTTAGTTATTTACTTAAAGTAGACCTATCATGCTATATTTGAAACATGTATTGTAGGGCCATACCTATATAAAACATGTCTGTGAAGTTTTTTTTTTCAAAATACCAAACAGATCATGCATTTTAGCCATGCCTCATTTCGCTCTATTTGCTCTTTTCCAGACCTGTTTTTGCAAGGGCTGATTCTGCTTTTGTGGCAGACTACAGCACCACTTACAGGCCTGGCATATGTACTACAGCGTCTCCAGCGCTTTCCAGCGGTCTCTCATTCCCCTGATAGGTGGAGAGTTGCCCATATAGGCAGAGCACCCCTTTTCTGACGTCAGAAAAATTCAAATAATAATCAGCTCCGTTGCAGCCCCGTTTTTAGAGATTTGGGTATGGAGGAAAAGAGAGAGGGTTGTGTTCTCTGACACTTGGTGAGTTCCCTGACACACGACGCATATTCATGTATAAAAGACGTACAAAAGTGCATTTTGCATGATAGGTCCCCTTTAAGGCAGAAACACAGAAAAACATGGTATAATATACATACATACCATGTGAAACAAAAACAAAAAACAAAACATCATAAGACAAAAGTGTTCAGGATTAACTTTCACTAGGATCCTAATGAAATAAAAACCTCCACTACATAAGACCTATCCTGTTCCTCTCTGGGAGCTAAAGTCACATTTGTCCCCATAAATCAACCTCCAGCTGACACAATTAGCTCTTGTTATCCAGCTGTGACGGACTGTAGCAGCCCCTCGTCTCGCTCTGGGGTGTGAAACATGGCCCTGCTGTGTGGAAGACATGCAGAGATGTGAAAAGCAGCTGTTCCTCTCCCACACAGCCTCACTGTCCTGGCCCTCATGTTTAGTCTGGCAGGACATAAGAGCTTTTTCCCAGAAACACGAGCTCCGTTGCCAATGCATCAGCATAGGTCCTCTTGTTCTGCGGTTAAATATCTCACTGCAACCGGCCCACATGAAGACCCCTGACCTCCTCACCACTGAGCAATCTATATTTACTGTTAATGATGCCAAAGTCAACCCTAATGGGTGCATTCTTTTTTTGTTTGCTCATCACTACAGTGAGAGGTGGAGGTTTTTGCCCTGAGTTTCAGTTTAGTGCTATTCAGTTTACAACTTAATAGCACACTTAATTATTTATCGTCAAAAATCATTTTTTATTACTGCATTATAGCGACAGTTTAAACTAGGGCTGTGCGATTATGGCAAAAATCATAATCACGATTATTTGGGTCAATAATTGATATCACGATTATTTTGACGATTATTCATTGACCATTTATTGAACTTTAAAACAAATAATATTTTACCAATAAACAAGATCAACAAATATGTTGGAGCGCACTTCCAAAACCATACTAAACATATATTAATATGATAAATAAAAATAAATTAGACCAAAATAAATTAAATCCAATATGTTGCAGTGCACTGTCACAACCTACTGAAAACTCCTTAACATATAGCCAACATTTTGATTCAACATATTCATTATTCCACTCAGTTAAACGTTGAAGGCTGGCCAACCGTCATGGTCCAGAAGTAACAGGAAATAAATGTTGAACTACAATTTAAGACCAAATAAAAATGTCTAGGCCACCATGACAAATGCAGGTAGGGCTGCTCATGTCATCTCTTAAAGATGTTTTGCAAGAAACACCAGCCTGTGTACATGGTCTGGTTTCAGAGATGAGCGCAGGCAGGTGACGATATTGCCACCTGTACTGAAGACCCTCAGCCACGCCCCGACACATGGGGTGACGCCGGCCAATCACAAAGCTTTGATGCGTTCAAGTGCATTATTCTGGCACAGGAAGATTATGTTACAGGACATTAACGATAAAACAGAATATTGTTGTTCTATTTGTAGACACATCTCGCGATCGACTGGTTGGGCACCTCTAGGATAGACCATAGGTCTGTTGTGGTAGCAAAGTAGTCAGCTGAAGCCACATCTCTCTCAACTTCCCCACGGCATTTGTCATATAGTGCAGGCAGCGCAGACCTGCTGAAATAATACCGAGACGGCATCGCGTAACGCTTGTCCAACGTGTTGACAAGTTGCTTAAAGCCCTGGTTGCTAACAGTGCTAACTGGGCACATATCTTTAGCGATGTGGAATGTAATGGCAAAGTACTTGCAAATAGTGGAAATAGTTTTACCCTTCTTTTTAACGAGTTGCTGCTCTTGTTCTGACATCTTCGCTCGCGCTGAACACTCACAACACATGTCACTCCCACGTGGCCGAGTGGGTTTTTAGGAAGGGGCGAAAGCGCACCCAGCAAAATAATCGTATTTTGTCAATTATGCTGTTTTCATAATCGTCGCAAGCCATAATCGTAATCGCGATTAAAATACGATTAATTGCACAGCCCTAGTTTAAACAATTGGTTAGAGTTGTAAATTGAATCCAAACAACACAAAATCAGACAAAATGACCTAGTTATTTTTATACAATGTAACAACTGGGTCATTTTTATGCAGCAATTCGATTATGTTTAAGAATCAAAGTAACTTGGTTATGTTCAGTAATTGATTATGGGTAGACTTAAGATATGTACTTTTGTTAGTTACTTCGTTTAATTACTCAACCCACTTCTGTGATATGTCAAACGAAAATAGGTCACTTCTGTGATACGTCAAAGGGAAATAAGATTTCCTGGAAAGGTAATTGATATTGCAGTTTCGTTAAATTGGAATATAATTTTTGGGAGCTATGATAGCTAACAAGCGTATTTTAGTTGAGGGGTAGCTGGGTCCAACTCACAGTGAGGGAGTAGTGATCAGATTGGCTTGTGCAGAGCAAAGTGCCAGTTCTTGAGTGTATGGTTTGACCATGTCATGGATGTAGAAAAGGATCCCTTCACAGCATGGTAGGACAGTACCAGGGTCTTGAATCGGATTTGGGCAGCAAGGGAAGGGAAAGGAGGAATGGTGTAATGTGGGAGAACCTAGGTGGAGTTGCTGCATTCTGAATAAGCTCGGAGGTCGAGTGTCCTTAAAGGTAGAACAGCCAGGAGTTGCAGTGAAGTCGGGAGATTAGAAAGCCTGGACCAAGACCTGCATTGCTTTCGGGGTCAGTAGGGCCGCAGAGGAAGTGTTTTCTGGAGGCTCAGTTAAAGTCCGATTAATCATCCTCTGTCTGACTGATTCAAACTGTGAAGAAGTCATTTGCTACATTATTTCTACAATAATTTACCAACATATTCCAAAAAATGTCCTCCTAATTTCCTAAACTTGGTATTTTAAATGAATACCAGTAAGTAATCCAGTGATAGTTGTCTGTACATCCATGGGTTCTGCTATTGGCTGATGGAAACAGACAGTGTCTTAGTGCAGTGGAGCTGAAGGGATTAGCTCTGTCAGAGAGGGATTATATTACTGCAGATAATGTCAGCAGGGTAATGTAACAGAATGTACACAAATAAAGCCTTCCATCAAATAAAACTGCTGCTTCAACTCCAGCAGGATTTAAATGTAACAGGCAACACAGTAAATAATAAGGAAATGCTATGTTAAAGGTTATTTGTGTTTGTATGAAGACTAAACGCAGGGTGAAGCTGCTCTGATGCTGAATTAGAAATGTTCATAAATAATCTTAGAATTATAATGATCATGTTAATTATGCATAATATGTATGCATGTCATCCCCTCAAATCTATCTATAATTAAGGCACAATACACAAAGAAACAAAAAAGATATACCACATCATTATTTGCCTCATTTACAAATGTAAGCATTTTGTTTTTTTATTCTACAGTATTTCCCCTTTTTTTCATTAATAGTTGACCTCCAGTAAGTGCGTGCGTGCGTGCGTGCGTGCGTGCGTGCGTGCGTGCGTGCGTGCGTGCGTGCGTGCGTGCGTGCGTGCGTGCGTGCGTGCGTGTGGTTGAATCCTGGTGAACAGCCGGACTGTAGCAGCAGACGATGTACCGGCAGATTGACAGGGTGGAAAGACAAGTCTCTCTGGGGAGGAGTTATCTGTCTACCTAGGAAGAACTCCTTACATTTTTAGAGGATAAAGTGGCAGGATGTTGTTAGAACCATTTCAAAACCACATTCCATTATTGTCCGTCATCTTTGGGATTGTCCCCCTTCCCCAGAAATCGACTTGAAGTCCCAAATGACAATTGGATATTGTCAGTCAAACAAAAAAACTTGGCTTGGATTTATGGAGACACAAAAAACACACATACTTCCAATAATTAACTATTTATAGAAAAGGGTTATATAGTAAGATTCTGTAGATAAAGTTCTGCTTTTGACGAAGCTCTGTAAAAACTCAAGCAGCAAAAACTCTGAGAGCTTATCTTTAAACCAAAGAAATAGAATATGAACATTTTCACTTTCATCCCTTTTACTAAATACCAATATAATATATTCTACAAAATGGTTTAGTATGAAATCCACAATCCTAATCTTGAACCAGGAAGTATAAAGTCAGATGAAGTCTAAAATCAGAATGAGGTTGCTATGGGTCCAAAAACACTGCAGAGCAAACCATGATCTTTACCACAAAGTTGTCTTGCTTAAACCTAAGCAATTTGGTTTGTGTGAAGATGGAAGTTTATAGGTCAAATACTGAATTCATGTCAGATTGACCTGTTGCTGAACAGTAACGTTGCATGAGAAGATGAAGTAGCTAGTGTTACGTCCCACCCTTAAAATGTCCCTAACAGAATTCCACCACTTACCTAAACAGAACACAGAAGACACCTTTCAAATAATCAAATCCATACGTTTTTTATAATCAAACAAAGTGTACCAATATCCATTGCCGCCAGAGGCCTCCCCCTTTTGCTGCTGGCACTGGAGCCTTAAGACCTTCCTCTCGATGTGCACCTTGTTGCAGCAACGCAGCACACCTTGGCAGAGGAACTACAGGGGGAAAGCAACAGGGAACACATACAGCCGTAACACTAGCTACTATGGTTACAGTTCCTTGCAATGGCAAAGGTACACACAAAAATGGCCGCCACTCTGATCATCCTGCTAAGTTAATTTAAATGGTAATATCCGTTATGATCCATTGCATTTGAATTCAACAGTCTGAACTATTGCAATGCTGCCTGTGAATGGCAAATGATTTACTCATTACAAAATCTTTTTCTGTTGATCAACACCTATTGTTACATTTCCTATCATGCTTTGTAATGTGTTCACATTGGCGTGATGCTTCAGGTTTGCAATATCCACTGTGTTTGCTCCATTGATCTACGGTTTACTAATCAGATGTACATCCGTCTTTAAACTGCTCTTGTTTTTTCCCCATACAATGTTATCTTAAGGTGCCTCAAAATTCTCAGGACTAACTAATCCTCAAAACATCCCATAATGCTCTGCCACACACTAAGTTCTGTCATGCTCCACTGGCCTTCACTTCCTATTGCTGCTGAAAAAGGCCTTGGTAAAAAGCGCAAATGTGTGTGTGTTTGTATTGTTAACTCGTGTTTGATGTGCTTCATCCTATACTTAACCAGCTTATACCACACCATCCAACATAACACAGCCTAACTAAACTTAGTGTCCACATGAATCAAATACATGTTCCTGCCTTCTGCTCCTCCCCTCTCTTATTCTCTTCCTGTCCTCTCCCCAACAGGCCAGCTAAAGATCACTAACTTGAGAGTAAACTTCACCAAGCTTCACACACTGGGAGACAACTTGCTAGACCCCAGAGCTGAAATCAAAGAAAAGTATTACTATGCCATGTACGAGCTTGTGGTACGTGGAAACTGCTTCTGCTACGGCCACGCCTCCGAGTGCGCCCGCATCGAAGGCATCAGGGCCGATATAGAAGGAATGGTGAGGCCTCATTTACATTCAGACTTATAATTAATGTGTAATTTAACTCTAGTTTCAAGCGTTTGATTCATCATCTCATGTAGATGACTTCCCCCCCCCACACACTTTTTCCTTTAAGGTTCACGGCAGGTGTGTGTGCAACCATAACACTAGGGGTTTGAACTGTGAAGAGTGTGATGATTTCTGCAATGACCTGCCCTGGAGACCAGCCGAGGGACGCAACACCAACGCCTGCAAGAGTGAGTACAGAGGAGGAAGGGGACAAATAGTGCACAAAAAACACATAGCCATTAAGCGTTGATGACAACAAAGATCAGGCTAATATTACTAGAGTTAGCCATTCCTATTTGTTTGACAGAAATATAATTGCCAACGTATTTGATAATTCACTCATTGTTAAAGTATTTGTTCATAGAAAATGTCACATAATGCTGTTTTTAAATATGCAGATTTTCCTACTTTTTCTGTTTTTATATCATTTAAAGTATTAAAGTAAACACTTCCGTTTTTTTACTAACAAAACGTTTAAGACATTATTTTGGATTGGAAAAACTGGGATTTACATTTTTCAATATTTTGTTATTATATTTAAAAAATATATTAAAAATGTAATCTGTTTGATTCTGATCTATTATTGATGGATAATAAAAAATAAAACAATAATAATATGTTGACATTGACTCATTAGTTTGAAATCTTTCTTTATTTCTAGAGTGTAACTGTAACAGCCAGTCCAGCACGTGCCACTTCGACATGGCCATGTATCAGGCCACGGGAAATGTGAGCGGAGGAGTGTGTGACGACTGTCAGCACAACACCATGGGACGCAACTGTGAGATGTGCAAACCCTTCTACTACCAAGACGCTTTCAAAGATATCAGGGACCCACAAGTCTGTGTTGGTGAGTGTGTGTTTATGCACTTTGTTTTTGCATAGTTTAAACAAACAACATTTGGTGGTAATTATTGCTCAGTGTGTCCCAAATATATATATACTACAGTTAATTCACAGAAGAGGATGGTAACCAATAGTACACTACACATATTGAGTATCTAGCGCATAATATGACATTTTGGGTAAAGCAATACCCTGCAACAGAGAAATGAACTGGGACAAAGTCAGATATAGTAAAACTTTGAAATGGACTATACTGATGGAAGCTTATTGACCCCAACCCACCTTGACACTAACCCAGAACATGCATTACTTACCTTTGTGTCCCACAGCCTGTGACTGCGACCCGGATGGTTCTCAGAATGGAGGGATGTGCGACAGCCACACAGAGCCCTCCCTTGGCATGGTGGGAGGTCAGTGCCGCTGCAAGGCCAATGTGGAGGGGCCGCGCTGCGACAAGTGTAAGACCGGCTACTTCGGCCTGAGCGCTGAAAACCCTCAGGGCTGCCAACGTGAGTACTGACTCTGATAGCACTCACACAAACTGACACTCACACTATCTTCTAGTTTTATGCATATAGACATGATACTTTATTTGTTGTTATTTAAGTTGTATTAAAAATGCAACAAATCTATCAGCCTAATATTTCCACTGTCAACGATGAACCCTTAAACACAAAAAATGGAGGCACAAATCTCACTGCATTATCTTTGATTGGAGTTCAATACTAGCAACAATTTGGGGAAATTATCTTAAAAAAAACAGATGATTTCTCTTTTTTATTGCACAAGAGGTGGGGGACTTTATTTCTGCATATATCCCTTTCACAAAGAGGATTGGGCAGACTGGATGTGGCCTGACAGGCGAAGATCAGGGCAAGAAAAGTCCATGCCTGTGACTTAACAGTTAGACAGTTTTTAGAAAGATGAATTACACAAACATGTATAATCTGTGTTGGTGTGGGGGTCACATTCTTAGGTGAAATTGCACCCTTGCTTACTAGGTTTACTGGTAATTGATCTGACAATGAGAGTTGAATAGACACATATTTCAACTTCAGCTTGACAGTGGTGGCAGCCTGTGTTTGACATTATAACCCAGCTTTCAATATGCTGCACTAACTAATTGAAACTCATCAATCCCCCCCCCCCCCCCCCCCCGCCGCCCTGTGCCCCCAGCTTGCCGCTGCGACCCCAGAGGAACAGTGTCAGGTCGCTCCCAGTGTGACCCCGTCAGTGGAGACTGCTTCTGCAAGCGTCTCGTCACTGGACGCAGCTGTGACCAGTGTTTGGTGAGAAAAAAAACATTGGGTCTGATTGATAATAGGAATTCTTCAAATATTTACTGTGGGTCATTTTCTCTGTCTCTGTCTTTCTCTCCTTACAACATAAAAAGCCCTGGTTCAATTTGTTTTGTTGTCTGTTTATCTTTGACAAAACAAGTTGCAATCATTTTAAAATAACAATTGACATTTTCTTGAATTCTTGAAATACTTAATCTCTCAAAAATAATAATAAAAACATATGTTCAAGGTCTTGATAAAAAAAAAGATTTTTTTTAGGGTAAAACAAAGAGAAAAAATAGTTTGAACCATGTCGGTTAAGGATTGCTGTAGTTTAACATGACACAATCAAATTAAAATGTAATCTCTTTCTCTTACATTTTACTTCAAGGCCCATATTACCCTAATATTTGTTTTACCATTCACTTATAAAGTAGTGCTACTGGTCTTCTTCACTCTTCCTTTCTAAAATGTTCCTCCCACTCTCTCCCCAGAAGCCCTATATGTTAATTGTTGACAAGCTTCCTGTAATAATTCAACCTTGTCCTGAACCTACTCAGCCAGGAATAGTATAGGCAGGAATGTGAGCTCCTGCCTGGGCCCTGTGTCTAAATTTAGCCCAGGGATCCAAGGCTTCTCCGGTTGGTGTGGGTTACAGCAGGCCTAACATGGTCAGGGTCTGGACCTGGTCCTAAAGTGGATCCTGTCTTTTCATGAGCCCTGTGAAGAAGCCTCATTTTAGAGTAATAGTGTAACGTCAAAATTGGACAGAATTTAAAGGAAAAATCTTACTGAGACAAATAATATATCAGTATTATTTTCAATTAAGCTTAAAGGTAGGACATTCACTTCAGAAACACTTTTTGTTATATTCCATGGAATGCTCTTAACATCCCGATAGCAATGAATACATTAAATGCTTTGACAAGAAATACATAAAAAATGTCATCTGTGGAAGCCGTGGCGCTGTAAAAAGCACGACCAATCATCTGAGCCGGCCCGGCTAAAGTAACTGGATGGCCTACCTGCCTGTCAGCCTTCCATCTGTGCACAAACTTATCTCGTGCCCTCATTGGTCATGTGCGCGTTCGTGTGTGTTGGAGGAGGGGCTCTGTAAGGAAGTCTGAAGGAAGGGGCAGATTTCAAATTCTAGCGCACTCTTGCTGGTTTCTCCATTCTTACCTACCCTACCTTTAATTGTGGAGTTTATGCCATTACTAATTTATCTTGTTCACTCTCCAAACAAAACAAAAACAAACAAAAAACAGGCATAAGTACAAATCCATCAGTCAAAACATACTGAAGAAAAATTGTGAAATTGCTACCTTCAAAAACCCAGTCAGTCAACTCCTTTTGAAGAGAATCTCAGAATGCCAATGAAAGAAAAGGGGCAGTGATAGTATGCCCTGAAGCTATGAATGTTGCTTTTTGGGATTAGAGAGCTAGATACAGTCAAACTGCAGTGGGAGTTCCCCTCTCACTCTGTAATCGCATGGAGAGTGATGCATCAAGCCAACTGTCTGTGTCTCCCTGTGTTCCTGCCTGTCAGTAACTCTGTCTGTGTCCTCCTGTCTGTAGCCTGAACACTGGGCTCTGAGCCACGACCTGAACGGCTGCCGGGGCTGCGAATGTGACATCGGAGGAGCCCATGACAACCAGTGAGTGACGCTGTAGCTTAAGTCAGAGCTCACACATGACATCCTCAAGTCTAACCTCATTTGAAACACTTGAAACAAAACAGAGACGATATTAAGTTAACAGAATCTCTCTAGTAATCCAAATAATTCGTTTTTTTTTTTAAATATAGAATCTTTTTTTTTAAATAGAATATAGTGTTTGATATAGTCCCACTTTTTACTAGATCAAATTTCCAGTTTTAACTTGTGTTGTGCCACTGCATCATAGTTCGTAGCAAAAAAATATTCAAATGCCTCTTTTCAGAGGTGGGGGACTTGAGTCACATGACTTGACTCGAGTCGCATATTTTTGGACTTGAGACTTGTTTGACTAACATTGATAAAAGACTCGACTTGACTTTGACTTGGTATTCATGACTTGAGACTTGACTTGAGACAGATGACTTGAACGGACTTTACATTTTAAAATAAAATATTTGAAGAAAGAAAAGAGAGAAAAAGTATCTTGTGCGAACCAGATACTGTATATCTAGCGCATGAGAAAGTTACCGCTGCGCCAAGTAGAAAGTGGAGCACACAGGAGACAACCGTTTCATTGCAGACACACTGTTATGTTTATGTGGGGAAATAGCAGTCCATACATTATTTGAGATATATTTCGAACTCAGACTTAGTACCGGATCGGCAAAACAGGAGAAGAACAGCCTCTGAGAAGTGCAGCACCAGCGCGCAGTGCCTTTCATGCACCACCTTCACTGTGTTTACCTTCATTAGAACAGCTAAAGAGCGACCACAGGCTGCTACGTTTTAACCACACACACCTCTACACACATCGAACTGCCCGATTATTCCCTCTATTACTCGTTTTATGAAGGAGATGTCCGGTCCCCAAGGCGCATGATTTGTGTGTGCAACCCAGTCTCACGGCATTTCGTGTTAGTCACGAAATGTAATCTATTGATTCGTGTTCACCAACACGATTTCCCCCTTTTTTTCATGTCACACAGAACAATTTTAAAAGCAATGTATTTCTATTGGTAGTCTGTTTCGTACCTGCACAAATAATAACAAATTAGAAGGAAAAAAATATGTAAAAAATACAGATTTCAGTATTCTGAGCCCCATTTATTTTCCTCACGGACGGCAATAAATGTCCGACATTATACAATTTAAAATTAAAACAATATAATCGTGGCTTGATATTGAGTAAGACATTTTTTTTATGAACCACACAGCTTCCGGTCTTCCAAGACCCGACCGGACAAAAAGACGTGGTATAGGTAGAAACATACTACCAATAGAAATACATTGCTTTTAAAATCGTTCTGTGTGACACGAAAAAAAGGGGAAAATCGTGTTGGTGAACACGAATCAATAGATTAAATGTATTTCGTGACTATAACACTAAATGCCATAAGACTGGGTTGGTGTGTGTGTGCTCAGCTCCGCTCTGTGTGTGTGAATGAACAGTAATTTACACAGATCTGGCCAATGCCATAGGTATATGTGGGTGTTCCCAAAAGAAAGACATTAGTTTAATCTTAATCTCAATGTAGTGCTAAGTGCACTGTCTACACACACACACACACACACACATATCATGCGCCCTGGTACATACACTATTCCGTTGTATTTGGCTTCGATGCAATATTTCTTTGTGCACAGGCACAGTTAGGAAAACAGTTAGACAGTGTCTTAGGAGAAGCACCTTATACCTCATTCCCACCAACGGTGTTTCGGGGCCGGTTCGGAGCTGGAGCTTGAAAAGCACCGGGTTTTCCTGTTCACACCGCAGCGGAGCAGCCTCTTAGCTCCGGAATCCTTGTTCGTTTCAAGCACCAACAAATTGTCCGGCTACAGCAAAAGCACCGCATACGTCACGCTTACGTCGAGGCTGGGGAAGGGGCAGGGGCGAGATCAACTCCTGAACAACAACAAAAAGCCGGCGTTTTATCCAGTTTGTACACAACGATGGAGAAACTTAACAAGCAGCAGTGGTCCACTGCGTGCCTGCTTTATGAAGCAGGCACGCAAACGGTTACGTCATGACGCAAACGATGACGCAATGACGCAGCACCAGTCGGACTCTGGGCGGTGTGAAAAGAGCCTCCGCTAAACCGAAGAACCGGTTCTGAACCTGAAAAGCTCTAGCACGGCGCTTGAACCGGAGTTGCGTTGGTGTGAATGAGGTATACCTCATGAGGTATACCTCATTCACAGGTATACCTCATTCACACCATGAATCATTCACACCAACGCAACTCCGGTTTGCGTGCCTGCTCCGCTGCGGTGTGAACAGGAAAACCCGGTGATTTTCAAGCTCCAGCTCCGAACCGGCCCTGAAACACCGTTGGTGTGAATTAGGTATTAGACAGGAGAAATGCTGTGACCCTGCTGAAGGGGAGCCAGGGCAGAAGGCTTAACCATTCATCAGAATTTCGTATGACTTGACTTGTGACTCGCTTGACCTGAGCAAAAACTTGACTTGACTTGCTTGACTCTCACCACAGTGACTTGGGACTCGCTTGACCTGAGCAAAAACTTGACTTGACTTGCTTGACTCTCACCACAGTGACTTGGGACTCGCTTGACCTGAGCAAAGACTTGACTTGACTTGCTTGACTCTCACCACAGTGACTTGGGACTTGCTTGAGATTTGTAGGTCAAGACTTGAGACTTGCTCATGACACATGTAGGACTTACTCCCTCTGCCTCTGAAAAGTCAACTATAATTAGACAAATATGAAGACGTTAAACTTTAAACATCCGTGACTTAAACACTTTATCCAGGATAAAAGCCAGCTGTATTCATGTATTCATTATACATGAATACAGCTGGTAAAAGATAAAGTGTTTGAATGCGTACATTAACAGGTTTCTGATATCACTGCACGAGTGGATCTGACTTTAATTACATTTGACTCAAGTGTTTCGTGAACTTAATGTGTTGCTTAAAATAATACGATGTGACACTGTGAGTGTTGCACAGCCAGATACGACTCAAGAAGCTGACTCAGATAAGGAAATATATGATACATTATGATGTGATATGAATGATAATGGGACACATCGACGTCTGCACTCATAGTGCCGCGGACTGTAGGCTACATAATGTTACTTTGATCCGGTTACTTATGTTGTGGCAGATATTTAAGTAAGCTTTCTTAATGCTAATGGTATAATAGTCAGATTGCTCTGAAGATGGAGGTGATATTCTATTCATTTTCACGTTCACACAGTCAGTTGATTTTTGCCGGCCATCTTTCCTGCAACGGCAGTTTTTCTGTATTTCCTTTCTCCTGTAATATGACTTGATCGCTTTAAACCCCACACACTGAGCTCTGATTGGTCAGCAGGCAGTGCTTTCACTGAGTTGATCTCTTATCCTAGAACCTAACCTGCTCCACACCAGGCTAGCCGTTCAGCATAAGTTACCATGGAGATCTAGCAGCTAAGAAGTGAACCAGCGTCGTAGGAGTTTTCCCTGAAGCGAAAATCCGGCTTTGTCGTACAGGCCTCTGTTCTCAAGTCAAATAAACAGGGGATGAACATTTTCTTCAACAACAACACTAATGGCGTTCCCAACAGCCTCAGCTCTTCTGAATTCAGTGTTTTTTATTTAATAATCTAATATTAGTTATGAAAAATGATGATCTAAGATAGTGAAAATGTCAAACATTCTACCTGGATATAAAGCATTTTAGCTAGCTGATGTTAGCACCAGTCAAAAATCCCTGCTATGACCATGTGATGCATTAGAGAGCAGCTAGCATGACAACTTTTAAAAACTGAAACAGTACTTGTTTACTTTGCTGATTAAAAGATAATTACACAACCAATAAGAAACCGCATGTCCTCTTTGTAGCTGCTCCATGGAGAGCGGTCAGTGTCGCTGCCGCAGCCACATGGCAGGACGCCAGTGTACGCAGGTGGAGTCCAGATACTTCTTCATGGCTCTGGATCACTTCCTGTATGAGGCTGAGTTGGCCAAAATGGGACAGGTGAGCCCGCCCATATTCTGTATTAGCCAACTGAATTGGAGTGATTCTGTGTTTTAAATATGGATATACATTTTCAAACATCTGTATATGTGTGTGTATTGTCAGGGCTGTACACTGGAGACCAGGGAGCACCAGCAGGGTCGGCCTGCATCATGGACGGGCTTGGGGTTCGCTCGGGTCCCTGAGGGGGGCACCCTGGAGTTCCTCATCACTGACATCCCCTACTCCATGGAATATGACCTGCTGATCCGCTATGAGTCACAGGTCTGTGTTTTGAGATTAAGCACCTTGCTTTTACATAGTCAGCTGCTCGTTTAAAAATGAAAGTCTTCAATGAATAGTTACTTTTTTGTGAAATCAATTAATCTGACTCTTGCTGAGAGGTATCTTTTATTCGGGGTAATTGGCTGGACTTTTTCATGGCAAAGTCACAGTGACAAAAAAACTCCAGAAAGTATCTAAATCTAAATAACGTTTAAATGTAATACAAATTATGTAGTAACCATTTAACAAGGTATTCAAATCAAACTGCAAACCTTTCAACTTTAATGGCCCTCCGAACAATGATTATAAACAGTTTATAAACCAATTATTAACATTTTACTATATGTTACAAATATGTGCTGTACATGTGACATAATAGATGTCTTGCAAAAAAATCTTAAAGGTTAACACATAATTGAGTTATCGTTAACAATACTTTATGTAGTATATATTATGTTATGTGTGCCATAACAAACTTTTAATATTACTATCACATCTATTAGCAAAGTTGAATTACCTTACAATTTACTATTTAGTAATACAGGTTAATACATTTTTACCAATGTTCTTTGGAAAGAGCCTTGTTGCTCAACGTCTCGATGCACCATTTTACTTCAAATATGTGCAGCTGTTATGTATAAACAACAACTCTGCCTATAAATCAATTTAAAGCATTGGGGATTTATTTCCTATCATTGTGACATCATTATTTGCACCTGTCCTTCTCCCCTTTCTACATTTCATGATGCTTCTGACTGCATATTAACAATATACACTGATCCTACCCAGATGCCCCGGGACTGGGAGGAGGTGCGGATAACGATAGTCCGTCCGGGGCCCATTCCCACCAGCAGCCCCTGTGGAAACACCATCCCGGACGATGACAGATTCCTCGTCTCTCTGCCGGCTGGAGCCAGGTATGAGACTTCAAGACACACACTCATTCACACATACACAACTGCTGAATATGAACTGGGTGCTGACTGTGTCTGCTGCAGGTTCATGGTCCCTCCTCGGGCTGTGTGTCTGGAGCAAGGTGTGACCTACACCCTCCGCTTTGAGTTCAGACGCTATCAGGATGCTAACAGTGTCCTGAACGGAGCAGTGAACGCTTTCCTGCTTGTGGACTCTGTGAGAAGAATTCATTTTTTCAGTGTACTTCAAAATAAGCCTCGGACTCAAAGAAATCATAGTTTTTTTAACTGTCTCTTTTTCATAAACCTGTTCTTTGCACCAGCTTGCGTTGATGCCACGCCACTCCTCCATGGAAATGTTCACTGCGGGAGATGTAGCTTCAAACAACAGGAAGCAGACCTTCGAGCGCTACCGCTGCCACGAGAGGGCGAAGAGCGTGACCCGCCCTATGATCAGTGACACCTGCGCCAAGATCATTACCAGCATGTCGGCCATCATCAATGACGGGGCTCTGCGTGAGTAAAAAAAACCTCACTGTGCCGTGTTTGACGGACACTCAACATGTTTACACTGCAGCAGGCTGCTACGTTACATGACCTCTACCCTGACCTCTGACTGCCCTTTGGAGGAAACAAAAACATAGCCTCATTATTGCGATCAGTGAAGTGAACAGTATTAACAACATTTCTGACTTGTGGAATGTATTTATTGGCCAAGAATGTAACTTCTTATTAACATGTTATTATTATTTGACCATTTACACATCTGCTCTTCATATATCTTACAGGCATCATCCTTTTTTGGTGCTAATATTTTCCCCCCAGAATTCATTATGCAGGATGTCCACATGTTTTACTTTTCATGCCTGTCCCTCTCTGTCCTCCTCTAGCCTGTAATTGCGATCCTCAGGGGTCAATCAGCGCCATGTGTGATGTCCGTGGGGGCCAATGTCCCTGCAGGCCCAGTGTGATTGGTCAACGCTGCGATCAGTGTGCTCCAGGGACTTATGGCTTTGGACCCTCAGGCTGCATAGGTGAGTCGGAGAATTATACATTTTTAGTTTTAGTTAGGAGTTAAGACCTTTGATTAGTTATATGCCATGTAGCTAGCGCCCTCTACTGTCTCAGTACAGAATTTCAAATCTAAAGCCTCTTAACCCAAATTATTTGTAAATTATTCTCCATCCCTCTTTTCACTTTCTTTCTTTTATTCCCTCCCCACTTGACTTATCCTTTTTTCTTTTCTCCCTCGTTCCAGCCTGTGGTTGCAGCTTGGAAGGCGCCGTGACTCGTCTTTGTGACAAGTTCACGGGTCAGTGCCAGTGCCGCCCCGGAGCGTTCGGTCCTCGCTGTGATGGCTGCCAGTCGGGTCACTGGGGCTTCCCCAACTGCAGACTCTGCCAGTGTAACGGACACGCAGAACAGTGTGACCAGAGGACCGGAGCCTGCATCAACTGTAGGGACAACACCGGAGGAGACAAGTGTGACAGGTGAGGCTTCAGAGAGAAGAGGCTGCAAGACATCAGGGTAGAATATATCGTAGGGAGATAAAAAAGAGATTGAAAAAGCAGTTTTGTTCTTCTTTCTCTGATGATGTTATAACAAAAGTATGAGTTTGATTATAGAACATTTTATGTACGTTTACTATGTTGTTTCAAAGTTGTCAGTTACAGTTTAGAGAATTTAATTACATTTTTACTAGTTTTATACTATATCGTTTTTACTCCTACTTTGTCATTTCTGTAGGTGTGGTAATGGCTACTACGGTAACCCAATTTTGGGCAAAGCAGCCAATGGTCAGTGTCGCCCGTGCCAGTGTCCAGAGGGCCCCAACAGTGGACGCCACTTTGCTGCATCTTGTTACCAGGACAACCATAACAGACAAATCGTCTGCAACTGTAACCAGGGTTACACAGGTAAGATATAAAGACCATGCTTTCTTACTGCCCATCTTTACTTATTGTGTTAGCTGTTTCTCCTCCTCAGCATCCAGATGTGTGTGGGTAAACCTTTTTATATAGAACGACAACAACACTTTTGTGTAAGTGTTTTGAGTTTTTTAACATATACAAATCCTCATCATAAACTCTTTTCACAGCGGAATAGTATCACCTTTGGAGCTGTAGTTATTTGTAATAACTGTTGAGTTCCTCTGTGATCTGAATCCCGTCCGAATCCTCAATTTATGGAATTTGTCAAGTAAAGATTTCACCTCAAATCACCTACCGTATTTCCCCGAAGACATAGGTCATGTGATAATATTAATAATCAAAACATCACACGGAGATAATGTCAACTGATGATGACTTTGGATTGGAGACAGTCTTAGTCTGTCCCGTGCAAATGCACTTCCTGCAACAAGGACCCGGTCCAATAAGATCCCCTGTTAGTAGTAGTATATGGCTTTAGTCTCAAATATATAAAGTATATGTGTATGTGATGTGTTTCCTCAGACACAAGTTGACCTAGTTTGTATGTTTAGATAATTATCATCTAATTGTATTGTGTCCAAATACTACTGAGGCTGATGATGGAACTCAATGAATTTGTAAAGGGACCTTTTTAGCTATTACATTTCATTCTGTGTTTTGTTTTCATCTTAACCTAAACAGAAGGGTCAACTCCTGATTTGACCCTCTAACAACATTGACATTTTTGAAAACTCTTATCTTTTCTTGAATCATACATCTATATGAGGTAAGAGTGATGTTTCTCACTGGGCATATTAAGGTGAATGCTAACCTGTGTAATCTCCTCCCTCCTTGTATTACTGGCACAGGGATTGTTAAACGCTCCGGGGTCACCATTTATAAGCGTGAGTAATGATGGTTGACCCCTGTTCTTCCTCCTACTCCTGCTTTCTCCACCAACCCCCCACTTGACCTCCTTATGCATGGCTTCAGCACGCCCTATTAGCGGTGCTGTGCCACAGTGCACTCGTGCCCATGTGTGAACCCCGGCTCGGAGAAGAAATGCAAACTCTTTCTATTGCTTTTATAGATAAGCTTAAATGATTTCAAAACAAGATTTGAAACAGGTCTACGTAGACCATCCCAATAGACCTGATCCTGAATTATTTTAAAGTTATTGTGTCAAAAACTGTGGTTTCCGATACACCCTTGAAAGTAAAAAGATGTATGTTGTAATGTGTACAGGTTGGTATTTGATAATGATTCTGGGTCAACTTCTGTCTCTGTGGATGAAAAGATGTTAGGAGGTAGTTGAGCAGTCTTTTCCCTAAGAAAAAAGAAAGAGCAGTACGGATACAACGATGTAGCCGTTTGGCCAGGATAAATACACTGATAAAGCATTCCTTCTTTCTCGTCTGCGCTCTGGGGCTGCTAGACTGAAATATGCTATTGGTTATTTTCTGACCTAAAGCGACAACAATAAGAAATAACATTGAGGGAAAAAAGCCTATAATGCTTTACTCACAAGAAGGCTAAGAAAATAAAAATTCTGGTGATCAATTCTCTTAGTTGAAATAGTTTTCCCTCCTGGGTTGACTGAATGTTTTCACAGGATAGTCTTTTTCTTCAAGAGCAGTAGTTTTGCTGAAAAAAAAAATGGTTTGAATCTTAATATCATTCAAATCTTCCCGATGAGCTTTAATGACTTTTGATGTATTATTGAGATAGGATTTCAAGCAGCAGATGAGCAAAAGAAAGTTCACAAGAATTTGTTCTAACTTGCATCTCAAGGCTTCCGTTGCTTCCAGTGGTCTGCCTGACTTTTGCTAATGCTGTGTGGTACAGGGTATAACAGCAATTCATCACAGGTATGGACGGATGCTAAAAACAAATGAAGCGCAGCACAGTGAGGGACATTATTGTACTATTCAGACACCAGGCAAGGCTTCATGGAACAATCACAGAATGGAAGTGGCTTTTGACCAATGTTTTTGTCTATTATGTCATCAAAAAAGATACAAATATGTTGCATTATCTCCAGAAGAAAGGTGTGATGACAACAATTCTCAATGTATGAGGCTGTTTAACCCCTCTGAGTGATGATGCATAACAAAACGCCCTTGAATCAGCTTGGGAAATTGCATAGAGCACTTCCCAAATACATTTCAGGTTCAAATAACAGCAGCAAGCGTCATATCTCCCTTCTCCTCTCCTTCCTTATTGTAACTCTTTTTCCTTTTTGTTGTTTCCATTCAGGAGCTCGCTGTGATGAATGTGCTCCGGGTTATTACGGCAACCCCTCTCAACCCGGAGGCCGCTGCCAGCCGTGCCAGTGCAACAACAACATCGACATGTCAGACATGGAGGCCTGCGACAGGCGGACCGGAGAGTGCAGGAAGTGCCTCTACAACGCCGAGGGCCCCAGCTGTGGCATCTGCAAGAGCAGCTACTTCGGGGACGCTTCCAGACGCAACTGCAGGAGTGAGTGACGCATTCAAAAAGAAAAAGCATTGGCTTGCATGTTAAAGTAATAATCTTAAAGTCTATTTAAATACATGTCTGTTAAGATAATATCTATTTGTCCAATAATGTGAGAGTATGGTGATTGAACTTATGGACAACTGCTGCATTTGACATCATTCACTGAAAATGATGAAAGCTGTGCCCCCACAGAGAATGAATAGATAGTAACCCCTTTAAAACGATATCATTATGCATGCTTTATTTTGCCCTTCAGAGTGCACATGTAACTTCCTGGGTACCGACCGTGAGCAGTGTATGGAGCGTGAGGACTGTGTGTGCCAGCGTGCCACAGGGCAGTGCCAATGTCTGCCGAACGTCATCGGCCTGACATGTGACCACTGCGCCCCCAACCACTGGAACCTGGCCAATGGGAAGGGATGTGACGCCTGCGGCTGTGACCCCAACAACTCTGTCACCTCATCATGTAACGAGGTAGGAAACACTTGGGGTAACACATTCAAATAGGCACATTCTATGTATACAGCATACATATGAGATATATTCATACACACTGACAGATACAAATGAAATTGATGAGTCATCTTCTATTTTTCACTCTGTTGTGCAGTTCACTGGGCAGTGTCAGTGTCGTGATGGCTTTGGTGGGAAGACGTGCACAGACTGTCAGGAGAACTACTGGGGAGACCCGAGGACACAGTGCAGAGGTCAGAAACATAATGACACTGACAGAAAAGAAAGGGGTTGTGATGAACATGATGTAGATGAGAACAAATTATGAATGGCAGAACCCAGGTTATGTAGGGCTTTATAGATGCTCAGGCGGAGAGATGGTTGCACAGTTGTTTGTACCTCACGGTGACAAGATACCATAGGACAAAATGCTCTCATTCACTGTTGGTTTTTATACCTACCGAAAGTAATGCACTACAAGTTAAACTCTTTTATAAACCATGTAATCGTCAGTTAGGATGTTCAGGGCTGCCTCTAAGGAGGTCAGGTGATAAAGAGAGAATAAGTTCACATGGAGGAGAAGAGTCTATTTGAAGTGTTTCAGGATACAGGACCCCCCCAACTGAGACAACTTCCCGATGAATGCACTGTTGATGCATTTTGTTTAGAGTGCATTGAGAAATTAAAGCTCATTTAGAAGAAAACACGAATGCTTTTAGTCCTTTCTATAGTAGTGGTGCACTCAGCCTCTTGTGGTCAAAATGGGTATTACAACAACAAACAAGATAATTCACATGCCAAGGATAAAGGATTTTATTATCCTAAACATTTTTTATTTCTGCTCTAAAAAATCTGAATATTGATCACAAGTTTTGTTTTCCTGATGTACTGCTCTGTGCCTCTGTATACATATGTGTAAACAAATGAGATGTTCTCATTACAAGCTTAGACCAGTTGACTCATCACACCACGTTCCCTCCTTCTCCTTCTCTCTGCAGTGTGTGACTGTGACTGGCGAGGCATCGAGTCCTCTCAGTGCAACAGGGTGACGGGCCACTGTGTGTGCCAGCAGGGGGTGTCGGGGGTCCGCTGTGACCAGTGTGCCCGAGGCTTCTCCGGACAGTTCCCCAACTGTCAGCCCTGTCACCAGTGCTTCGGGGACTGGGACCGCATTGTGCAGGTGCGGTTTGGTGCCAAAGAGGGGGTCTAATTCTCAGATGCCGATTAAGAAAGGTTGAATAACTTTTCTTCACACTCTTTCTGTCTCGTTTCCAGGACCTAGCAGTGCGTACAAAGACTCTGGCAGATCGTGCCCATGAGATTCAGACCACCGGGCTCACTGGGCCCTATGAGAAGGCTTTCAAGGACCTGGAGGATAAACTGAAACGAGCTCAGGAGATTGTCAACGCGCGCAACGCCACCGCAGCAGCCGTCGCTACACTGATGGAGCTTATTGAAGATCTTAGGTACAGCTGTTGTGTCCCACTGCATTTTGAGTTTCCCAAGTAAAAATATCCATCTGAAGTCTTTCTTTCTGTGGAATGAGGTAATAATAATAATAATAATTCCTTACATTTATTATAGCGCTTTTCCAGATGCTCAAAGCGCTTTACAAATACACATTACACATATTTTTTATACATGCAATGGTCACTGTGGACAATACCCACAGGAGCAAGTTCAGGTGAAGTGTGTAGCCCAAGGACACACCGGCTTTACAGACGCAGCAGCGGCGGGTTTCACCCCTTGATCTGATGATCATTGCACAGCGCCACACCGTCCATCTTCACGCCTCGAAGTCATCGAGGTGCTTTTACAAGTACACATTGATATCATACATTTAGGTAGCAGTATAAAGATTAAAAAAAGTCTGTGCCACAAAGTCATAGATTATACTCTTTACTACTTTTACTGTGATATATCTGCTTCAGTCCTGACAAAAAAAGAAAAGAAAAAAAACATTTTCTTCACATGCAGTGGGAATTTCAATTGTTTCTCAGTCGGGATTAGTTGATTTAAATGCATGATGGTTTTGTGCAGAATACCAAGAAAATAGCACGGTCATTTAGGGCAATATGAGCAAAACTGGCTCAATCTGGCAGATTGTTCCAAAAGCATAAAAGCTTGATATTATATTGAAAAGGAATCCAACTTCAATACAACCAACGTTAATATCTAGGTCGTCTCCGATACCGAGCTCCAATGCTGATAAGGCTCTGGAAAACAGCTGTCCTACCTTTAGGACTAACCCCCCAGAATCTACATGCAAGATCACCGTAATCTGTTTAGGGGGGCCGCTAACAGCGTGGCCTTTAACACCAGCTGCCCGTCGTATCACTTATTTCAGCCACTAAAGCATTGGATGTCCGACCGCCAGGATATCAAACGGAGTGTGTAGTGCAGTAGGTGTTGGTGGGCTGGTAAGACCCCAGAGAAGTATCTAAACTGCCCCTGGAGGAGAAACCCGTGTCGTTGGGAGACTCCCTGGTAATTAGGGCAGCTTCAGCACCCACAATCCCTAACCCCCTCTTTTGAACCTTAGTTATGCCAATTAAAACAATGCAAGTGTAAAATCAAACATAGCCAGAGTCAAACACTAATATCACAGCAGTGATATTACCACACCAGCAGAGCACATGTCATATTTCAGCATCAATCAAAACCACATCAACCACAGTAACCAATATGAAACTACAGCTTAACCTTAGCAGGGTTTCTATTTCCCTTAAACAATTTGAAGTCCAAATTATCAACTACTGTCAGCCTTTTCCAAGGAAGGGTGTTCTTACCTCACTCTAAGACCAAGCAGATACCTTCAGAAACCACCAGAGACCAGGAATTGGGTCGAAATGTACAAAGTACAAAGCGGTTTTATCAGTTTTAAAAAAACAAATTGACATGTAAAGAATTTAGATTTATTTTAACTTCAATTTCAAATATTCAAACTTTAATTTATTTACAGAAACAATCAATCAATCAACAACTTTATTAATCCCACAAGGGGCAATTGGTTATGAGCAGCTTATGTCATGTACACAGGCAGGAACATACAGGTGTGCATTGTTGTCCTCAATCGTTGTAACCGTTGTCAAAGTGTCAAAAACCAAAACGCCTTCCTACAATTGTGGTGGAAACTTTTATGCTTTGCTTGCACATTCTAAATTGCACAATTTGGATAGGTCAAACGTTCAGGATGTACTGTCTGGTTTCATATATATAAGACATTATTGAGAAATACTTCATTTCCATCAAACCAAATTAAAGCCAATTTAGCATTTATTTATCAATGGTAAGCTTAATAGAGTACGTGAGGTCTGTCACGGCCACCTAAACAGCAGATCTGTCAACAATATAATGCAATATGTTATGCTATAATGGCTGTGGGATCAACATTTTGGAAAAATAATTCTGTATCTGTAATTTAGATACACATTTAATGATTGTATTAGTAATTATAAGAGCTTAAGTTAAACTTCCAAAAAGAAAAGAAAAAAGAAGAGAAAAATATCGTACAACCTTGCCAAATGCGCAGCCAAAAGATTCGAACAATTACAAAGCCGAAATTACTCTGGTGAGGCACAGGTAAAAATCATATCAGGATTATAATTCTCATTCCTCCACCACTGCTTGTATTTCCCTGCAGAGCGCAGATCGGTGAGACCACTGACGCCCTGAACCGTCTGGAGGGAGACCTCACGGTCGTGCAGGACAGCAACTCTGAGGCCAGCAAGGAGCTGAGCGCTCTGGAGAGAGAGGCTAAAGAGCTGAACCTCACCTCCCAGCAGCTGCACCGCCAACTGGACACCCTGAAAAACTCCAACTTCCTAGGTGAGGAAAAAGGAGGAGATGGATCTTTCAAATCACTTTACATAATGCCTAAGGACAAGAGATTTGAAGTCCCAGCTAGCATCAGGAGCTAATGCCAGACTACTAACACACATGTAGATTGACTCAGGCCTTCATATGGCTGGCAAACCTCTGAGAATGTGTCTGAAACCGCTGTAGGCTTTTAGTTTTCTTTTCAATCCTTAAATGTACTCCAGCAACAGTTTGATTGATCTGAAATGTGGTTTCCTCTAGGTGCGTACGACAGCGTCCGTATCTCCTACAACAAGTCTCGTGATGCGGAGCGCCGTGCCAACGGGTCAACGACCACCAAGCCCAGCACGGTCAGCCAATCAGCAGACACTCGCCGCCGCACCGAGCGCCTCATCTCCGCCAAGAAGGACGACTTCAACCGTAAAAATGCTGCCAACAAGCGCGCGCTTGGAGATCTCAACACTAGAGCACAGGGCCTGGACCTCAAGAAGATCAATGAGAAGGTTTGAACACATTCTTCTTGATTTGAAGCAGCTGTTAAAAAACGAATTAAATGTGATGGCATTAATGTGTGAATCCATACATACAGTGAAGTGCTGAGAAAAGATATCTGGACATCTTTTTTCTAAGTCTGATCTAAATTCTGTTTTTCTTTCTCCTGTGTCTCTTGTGACGATTGAACAGGTGCAAACAATTGAACATAAAATACATATAGCGTTATTTAACATTACTATCCTCCTTTGTGTCTAGAAATGAATTTGAATAGGCGCTAATCTGCTGTTAGCATTAACTATACAGATGTTATGTTGTAGTGGTGTACTACAGCTTCCTAAAATACACCAAAAGAAAGAAAATCCCCTGCCAAAACATTAGAAATATCTTAGAAAGATTATCCATGCTTAACCTTTTTTCAACCGTTCAGATCAGACCCAGAAATTGGATCCCCAGATTATAGTATTATAATATCCATGTATTTTGACTTTGTGTCTATATATTTTGTAATCAATATGAAGTCAAAACATTTTTATTGATGTGATTAAAAGGTGGCTTCTTCACCTAACCCAGTGGTTCTCAAACTTTTTCTGTCATTCCCCGCTTTGAACAGGTGGGCCTTTTCAAGCCCCACCTGTTCCTCATCGCTCCAATCAAATGGTAGGCCAAGCTTAACATGGTCAAATGTATCATTTTTGATCAGGGGTCTCCAACCTTTTTTAGGGTGAGAGCTACTTTCAAAAAATAAAACAAGTCGTGAGCTACTTTTACTCCTCTTTTCTTAGTTTTTTGCAGTGTATATTTAGCACATTTTAACATTATTATATGCTGACCTTTAACCTTTGTGTGCTGTTTGGGTCTGTGGGACCCGTTTTCAGTGTTTACTAAAATAACATGTATTCAATTTAATTATTTTAACCTACTTTATTTGGGGGTGGACCTCACCTCCTCTAGGGGGGTCCTCACCTCCTCTAGGGGGGTCAGGGGGCATGCACCCCCGGGAAGATATTATTTTTAAATGTTGAAGTGAAATGCATCAATCTGGTGCACTTTGAGAGCAACATGAATGTATGGATACAGCTCTCAACACTCAGATGAAAGCTGTATACATATCAATAATCCAAATATCTTTAGAATATGATCACAACCAACAACAAATCATGTAAACTTGTTTATTCTTATCTTATGTTACCTAGTTAGCATTCTTTCTTTTTATTTATGCATATTTTACTAATCACTCTCCTTTTGAACAGTTTTTTTTTTTTACTGTCCTATAGTACACATTGGAATGATTTCTTTATTTTTTACACCTATGCTATATTAAAAAGATAAAGGTGTGCTCTCTCTCTCTCTCTGTCTCGCTCGCTCACAGAGGCTGTGTGCTCCTCCGTGGCGATGACGGCTTGCGTTACAAAATAATAATAAACATAGGCCTATTTGTAAAGTGGGGGGACACAAACGGGATTTCGAAAAGTGTCACGGTTAAACTCCTTATGAAATGAGGTGCCGCTCCACATTGCTTTTCTTCCCGACTGCACCGCAGGTGTGAGTTTATTGCCTGACCCTTTGCATGCAAATGAAATGTATGTTCCACTGTCCCTACAGGTGTGCGGCGCCCCGGGTGACGTTCCCTGTGGTGAAAGTCCTTGTGGGGGTGCAGGTTGCCGTGACGATGAAGGGAACCGTCACTGTGGAGGCCTAAACTGTAACGGCGCTGTGGCAGTCGCAGACAACGCCCTGGAGAGATCGAAACACGCAGCGAAGGAGCTGAACAAAGCCATGGGAGAGGTGGAGGGACTCTTCACCAAGGTATGGAGGCTCATGTAGCTCTGTGGTGTTTTGTTCTTAGTTTTTTTAGGTAAATATATCCCGTGGGTCCATTTTAAAATAGTTGCTCTTGTTTGAACTGTTTACCACGCTTGGATAGATCAATGGTTAGCAACAACTTTGATATTATTGGATATGTATTTCTTTGTGCAGGAAACAAGGTAATGCATGTTTTGTCCCCTAAGGCAGACGTTGGAAAATCTGATCTGAGCCCCGATGTAATATATTGAATGATTTTAAACTGTAATAGCGCTAAAATCAAACATCAAACTTCATCCAGTTATGAGTTAGGTTTTTATTTGTATCATTGTTTATTGGGGTCCTCAGGTAAAAACACAGCTGAACAATGGGGAAAAGTATTTTAAGAACTAGGTATAAAGAAGAATAACATTTATCACAAGATTAGTTCACAAAGTAAGAAAATGGACATACTAGAATAAAATAATCCAGAAGCCTTTATCACATAAACAATTCCTGGAAAGCATTGTTAAGAAACCGCAGTTATGGTGAATAAGTTGTATCTTTCAGTCTGTTGTTAATCTCTAAGCCTTCCTGTGTTTCTTACAGGTGGCAGACGCCAAGACCAAGGCAGAGGAGGCCAAAGAAAAAGCCCAAGCAGCTCTAGACAAAGCCACGGCCACCAAGAACAAAGTGGAGCGCTCCAACAACGACCTGAGAGACCTCATCAAGCAGATCAGAGAGTTCCTCACTCGTAAGTCTGCAGGGTTCTTACAAAGTTACCAACAACAGGTTTAATGTTTATGGTGCCTTCTAATCAACCCCTATGTCTCTCTCTCAGAGGAGGGTGCAGACCCAGACAGCATTGAGGCCGTGGCCAACCGCGTGTTGGAGCTCTCCATCCCCGCCTCCCCGCTGCAGATCAGACACCTCGCTGATGAAATCAAAGAACGAGTCCGCAGCCTCTCCAACGTGGATGCCATCCTGCAGCAGACGCAGGACGACGTCCGCAGAGCGGAGCAGCTGCTGCTGGACGCCAAGAGGGCCAGGTATAGGTGGAGAATAGATCGACTTCAGAACATGCACGTCTAACAGCATGTTAGAGAATTATTTGATCTAACAAAGAGCTCCTGTATTTATGGATGCAGGCACAGTGCAGAGGGAGTGAAGACGACAGCGGAGACAGTGAAGCAGGCGCTGGCCGGCGCTCAGACGGCTCAGACGTCCGCAGAGAAGGCCATCGCCACAGCCAAGGCTGACATCAGGGACACTGAAGCCCGCCTGGTGCAGGTACAGTAACAAACTAAAACCCCAAACAGGAAAACCTTTATTGGTTTGCCAGGTGCTTTTTGATTAGATTAAAGGTTGTTACATATTTTGTTCAACAGCACTCAAAGTGATTAGTCGGTGTTTCGTCTTTTATTTAGTTTTTTTACATATTTTCCTTTATTACCGATAACATTACAGGACCAGTTCACACACTTATCTTTGGCTAGATACTTTTCATAAATGTTTCAGATTTCGTTGAGTTTCATTATTGACCACAAAAAAAGAAAAGAGAAAAAATTAAAGAAATCTATGCTCATTCAAAGTAAGTGTGATGAAGGGCATTTCATTATATTTTATAATAAAGATGTGTTTTTGATGTATTGGCAAACAAAAAAATGAACAGAAAAAAGAGGTTGGTATAGGTATCTTCTTTGAAAATCACAGTTGGTGCATCCCTACTAGTCATGATATTATTTCAAAAGGATCAGAATTCACTCTGCCTGTGCATGCTCTCCTCAGATCGAGTCAGAGACCTCCAACAATGAGAAGGACCTGACGGAGGCCATGGACCGGCTGGGAACCCTGGGGCAGGAGATCGCTGCCCTGAAGACCAAACGGGCCAACAACACCATGGCAGCAGCCCGAGCAGAGGAGACCGCCACCATGGCACGAGACAAAGCAAACGAGGCCAAGCAGGTGTGTGTTTGTCTGTGTTTCTGTACATCTAATTACAAGTGTAAACAATTGTTGAATACAAAATGTCTCACCTGTCTGATTGCTCAGATTCTAGACGGCCAGCTGACAGATAAATACCATGAGGTGCAGCAGCGGGTCGACACAAAGGCCAAGGCTGTGCAGGAAGCAAAGAAAAAGGCAGAGAGGCTCAGAGATGAAGCAAAGGAGCTCCTGAAAGACGCCCAGGACAAGCTCCAGAGGCTAGCAGGTGCTCAATAATATCTGTGTTTTTGGAGATGGACAGGAAGAGATGTATGGTTTTTATCATCTTAAAAGACAAAAGACACAAATCTCAAAGAATCTTAAACAGTGTAATGAAAAAATCATTTACTGTTCGTTTACTATTCACATAAACTATTTTGATGCAAGATAAAACAGCAGCAGGTTGGTGCAATTGAAAGCACTTGAGTGACTGGCAAGCTTGATATTAACTGACTCGATGAGAGTTATACAATCATAAAAAGAATAAAATAGATGAAAAAGCAAAGACCCTTAAATAGATCCTTGAGGAACCCCACAAGTAATTTGACAGTGTTTTAAGAAATTACACTGAATTCTCTCCCTTTTTTTATTTATTTATAGACTAATGGCTTTTCTAGTATTATTTATTCAATCCTATTATTTATTTGTTATTACCTTCATTATCTACTTTTTTTTTTTTTATAAATGTGTTATTCACTGTGTTTTATGAACATTTGTTTTCCTTCATACTTGTATTTAGGCGTTGGGAGTATACAGTACATCATGCTAACAAAGCCTGATGAATTTAATTGAAATAATTGATAGGAGGCCACTTGAACAGTTCAAGACGAGCCTAAGCATTCCCTGGTTCTTTTTAAAGGATTTAGTGATTAACAGTATCTTAACAAATGCCCAGATCAAGTAAAACGAGTTGAGAATGGCTTACAGTAGCACCAAATTCTGTTAATGACCCACTGTGTAACCATATCTAACCTTATTGCGTCCCGCAGAGCTTGAGAAAAGCTACGAGGAGAACCAGAGGAGGCTGGAGGGGAAAGCTCGTCAGCTGGATGGCCTGGAGGACAAGATGAAAGCTATCCTCACCGACATCAACAAACAAATCCAGATCTACAACACATGCCAGTAACTCACTGCTATATCATAAATATCATAAAGAAACATGTGCATTATCGTATTATTCTGGCATTTGATCCAGGTACATTAACTGTACAAAAGACTTTGAAGACATAATAAATAATAGGCGTATTTTACCAATCTGCAAGTCAATCTGCATAGTGCAAATATCTGTCAGGTAAGAATGTCAAAACACTTGCTACAATATTAAGATTTATGAATTATATAAACATACCCATAAATAAACATGAAAAGGTTGTATAATATCACATATTTAATTGTTATTTGTGCACATTATTTTTGTTTTTCAAATAATCTGGAAAAGTGTGTTTTTAAATGGTATGTTTTGAACATGAAAAAGGAAAACTATATTTAAGAAAACATTTCAATTACACTCAAATTTGAGTGAAAGCAATGCAATACAAACAATCTGCAGTTTAACCATTAGAGTGACTGTTGTATAATGAGCCGGTCAATATAATATTCTCAAAATGTTCTCTATGTCTCTGTAACTACTGGAAGTATAATCTGAGCTGTGCTCATCGCGAGAGAACTTTATGTATCCTGCAGTGCACAGTGGCTTCTTTCAGTATGAAACACAACCATTCTTGGGTACATGAGGAAAAAAACATCTGTTTGATCGTTTAAATTCACAAGTAAGAATAATAATGCTTTAATAATTTGTTGCCAAAAATATTATACAAGGTTATATTCAAGATCCATGTTAGGATCATGCATTTTACAGAATGGAGAGATAACCAGGGTCATTGCATTTTTATGAATTTGGTCATTTGTACCATCTGTGTTGCTAGGAATGCATTTTGAATGCACTCTGCCTTTATACAAATGATGTGACAATTTTTAGGTGAAAATATAACAAACATTTTGTCATTGCCATGCCAATAGATATTACCAACGGTGTTTTCATGTCTGGAGTAAGATATGCCTATTACCAAATACGAATATTGTAAAATGAGCGTATGCTAACAGTGAATGCTAAAAGCTAATGCTAGCGCGTACATGCTAGCCCACAGCTCTAATGATGCTTTTACTGGTCAGTCTACCTATCTGTCTCTAAATGAGTTAACTTTGGTCTACAGTGAAAGTTCTCAACTGTTATTTATATCTGATAAACAATAAAGCGTTAAAGACTAGCTGAAATTCCCTTGAAAAACTAAATTGAGAATGCAGTTTAGTTGTATGGGGATGTCCTTTTGTTGAAAAAGGGTTGGTAAATGAACTCCTTTTATATTTTGGTAACAAAAAGGCATTATCATTGGCACCTCCCTCAGGATAAACCTTTGGAAAATATCCAACTATTCCTTTTAGCATGAACAAGATGATTTCTTATGAATGCTAATCTAATGATGCACAGATTGTGAATGTTTGTATCAAATGTACTGTGATGAAATATATACAATCTGCAGTAATGGATGGCAGTTTTTCAGTGTTTAATTGTGCCTTATAGTGTGGACATTAATATCCATGTGCTATTTGCATGACTATTTGTGTTTTCTGAAACATATACCAAAAAACGAACTTTCCTCAGATCGCCATTCAACTGCTGCCAAGTGATTTTATAACTAATTGCCGAAACAAGACACCAAAAATAACTTGAGTTTAACTGTGTACAGTTTTGTGAATAAAGGTTGGATAACTTAACAACTCTCTGTGTCGAAGTAGCTTCTTTGAGCATCTTTATCAGGAATTATTTAATGGTTTATATGAATACTCAATTCTGATTGGTAAATGTGGACATTTCAGAGGTTAATACTCGCTAACACAACTCTGCTAAGGATCACGTGACCCTTAGCAGAGGTGTGCTAAGAATGATTAAGGGACTATGTGCAGTCCTATCAATCCGCAGAAAGAAGTCCGGCCGATATAACGTCAGCTGAAACGTTGGATTCATGAAGGCTAAACTCTCCCGTAAAGAAAAGAAAAAGAGAACAAGAGAAGGAAAGAGCCGTCGGGATCCATGATTATTCCGCTAGGTGTTCTACTTCGTTAATGACAACCTTGCTGCACGTTATCCCTCACTTAAATCCTATGGCTACTTACTTTTACTTAGCCTAGCCCTAGAACCAGTACAGGGGTGAGCCGTGACTTTTATACCTAGGCCCTCTGACCCCCCCCCCCTCTTCCCTCGAAAATAAAGAAGAGTTATTACGTCACAGCGTATACTTCAGCGCAAGGGTGTAACTGGTTTGAGAAGTGGGGGGGACACAAAACAGGGGGTCCTCCGCAATTAAACATGTTCCCGAATTAATTTAAGAGATTTATGGATACAGCTCTCAACACTCATGAAACAGAACTGTATAGCTATTTCAATAATCAAAAAACCATTAGAATATGCTCACAACCAATAACACATATTTGATAAACTCCCCTCTCCTATCTTTATCTTACCTAGTCTGCATTCTTTCTTTTTAGTAATGCATATTTTACTAATCACTCCCCTTTTAAACTGTGTTTTAGATTTTTTTACTGACCTATAGTACACATTGGGATGATTTCTTAACTTGTTTTTTACAACTAGGCCTATATTAAATAGATGGAGATATTTGTTTACGTGTATGACCATTCCCTTTGAGACCCACTGAGATAACTTAGACTAAAGTTTACAATCTAATCACTCAGAGAGTCCTTTAGCTCACTGAGCTGACGTTATCTCTCTCAGTCCGACAGGAGAGGACTCTCCCTCTCCATATTGTTGCAACAGCTTCTAATCTCCGTTAGCTCCGAGCTAGCACCAGATGCTAACAACAACCCCCGTAACTCTCTCTCTCTGTCTCTCTCTCTGTCACTGTCTCTCTATCTCACACAAAATGCGCTCGTGCCACACACACACAGACGCTCCTCCGTGACGATGACCACTTGCGTAAAAAAAAAACCGCATTTGAAAAGTGGGGGGGACGCAAATGGGATTTTGAAAAGTGGGGGGGACATGCCCCCCCTGTCCCCAGTGGAAATTACGCCCATGCTTCAGCGGAATATCAAAACAACGGCCCGGGGTGCAAAACGCATCAATGACAGCGACCCTCTACCACACAAAACAACACCATTTATATAAACACCTATCATGACAGGGCACCCACAGCCAAGTAACAATTACAAATGAATTAAGTCGGCACGGCGGCCCACATTGAAAATGACTTAGGCCTACCTTTGATGATCAAATCACTTAAACACAAAGTCCATCCTAAGGATAGAGGGTGTAGTTTTTCTCATACTGATATTCTGAACAATCTGTGCTGTTGTAAGCTCTGTAAAGTGTCTCTACTGTAGGCTACTTTTATTATATGTACAGCACTTTGGCTCGACCAAAAATCGTTTATAAATGTGCTATATAAATAAAACTTGATTTTGATTGATTTGATCCTCCTGTCCTTTTGGATGAAGTAGGTAACTTGATGTCGGGGTCATGCAGCTGATCCTTTGCCACTCTAATTTATCATTGTAACTTAATCTTGAAAATGACTCGGTTAATAATTTCGCAACGATGTCATCACTATCACTGACATGAGCCATCATGAACAAATGTATGCTCATCATACATCTATCCAGGGACGTGCACAGACATTTGGAGGGGCTATTGCTCTAAACTGTAAAAAGGGCCTCCCCCCGAAAAAAAACACAAGACCTTTTGAAAATAAAGAAACCAAACGATTATTACATCAACTAAATTGAACAGTAATTCACATCTCATAACAAAATAAGCTAAGGCGACTACTTGCATTCTGTGACTTGATTTTAAAAATGAAAACCAGGGGAAAAAATGGTTTTGCGGTCCATATCTCATTAAAATATCTAATGTTAGTAACTATTAAAGACAAAATGGGGACAATTCTGTTCTAATGTAGTTTGACCATTGTAACTGCTGTGCAGTCCAGACATACTGATAAAATAGGGCCTCTAACTTAAATAAACTCACTAATTAATGAAACCAGTTCAATACGCATTATTCTTATTCCCATCATTCTTTATGAGCGCAGTAACGGTAAGGTATCTAATTACTTATTTAGTATTCCATAACTTAGTAACAGAGATGGTCAAACTAAAGTGGTAGAGACATGGCAGAATTCCTACAATGAAGCGGGACATTGAACTGTTCACCCGTGAGAGGGCGATCAAGAAAAGAAAGCGAGCGGCCCCGTTGAGGGAGTTCACAGATGAAAAGATACAGAAAGACAGAAGCACAATAACAACAAGTAGGCTATATTTAGGTGTTTTTTGTAAATAACCGACGGTATCAAGAGGAAGTAAAGTCCCCCGGTTTGTCCCTTATAACCTTACCCTAACCCTAACTGCCATCAAAATCAAGTTTCCAAAATCCGACACTGAGGTGGTCTTTAACGCACCGGCAGATGACAAAGTAGGCTTGTTTGAGACGCGTTGCGGCTCGCCTCGAAAGTAGACGAGAATAGCCGATCGCAGCCGGGGGAGGTCTCAAAAAGCTCGCCTGAAGTCGGACAGCTCGGAGTCGGCAAGGTCTTCTTCTTCTTCTTCTTCTCTCGGTTTTTTGGCGGATTGCAAACAACTTTAAGGTGCATACCGCCACCTCCGGAGTCGGCTTGACTCGGTTTGCATTTATAAAGAATGCACACATGTGTTTAATCGTTAATGTCAGATATGTACTAAGTAAATACATTTGTTCCTGCTCAAGATTAGATTCAACTTTATTGTTATTGCCCATATTACAGGTACTGAGACAACGAAATGCAGTTTAGCTTCTAACCAGGTGCAACAAGCAGTAAAGTGAAAAGTAATGTACACAATCTACAGAATAAAATATAGAATGAATTGAATGATGAATAAACAGTGTTGGAGATTTGGAGGGATAACTGGTCCGCTTTTCAAATCTCCGCGCGTTCCTATGAAGCTGGTTATAATACAGGAAGGAATCCATAGCTACAAAGTAACCGTTAACAATAATCTACTTTAATGGCAATATGACAATGCAATACAATCATTACAATACAACATGATATATTACAGTTATATTGCAATGCTTAAGGAGTAATGCCGGCTTACTCCTGCTCTAGTCCGCATACTACAGAGCTACTTTCACCCGAGGGCAGCATGTGAAGAAGAGGCCGAACGCCAGGGATCCACCGGATATATACCAGAGTAAGAAGGAGGGGTTTGGTGTTAGGTCAGCTGGTCATCTCTTCAGGTCATCTCATTGGGAGACGCAACGCAGCAGGAAACGCAGCAGGAAACCAAACAGGCTCACTTTCCAACAAAAGGTCTCAAGGCCTGCATACCTACACCTCCCCCACAGGGCAATAAAACCCTGTTTACTCCAACCAGCCCAGAATGTTTATAGCCATTTGTAGTCCTTACATTTATGAAAGGATAAAACAGAGAAATCAATATAAAACACAAACACAGGTATTGTTTGAACAGTATTCACTTAACTGCTACTGTTGATAACCACCAGAGAAACCCAAGGGACCTCTCTTAACCTCACAAACACTGCAGCTAGATCTAAGTTGAATGCAAATCAGGACATGCTCTCCCCTTCCCCCATCTTCCTTTGTCCTCAAAAACACATGTCAACAGGCCCCAAATGCAGCTCACAGTTTTACCCAAATTATTCTCATTTTAAGCTTATCCATAGTTTGCTAACATGAATAAATACAAATATAACTCTACAAATCCCCCTTTTTATCTCCTTCTCCAGAGATAAACTTAGACAAGGCATTTTGAAATATACCCACGGTCATTCTTTTCTACTGTGTCCGTAAATCCATCCGAAGCTGGTATTTAGAGTACTTGAAACCTTCATGGAGACAGAACACCACTTTCCATGGCAGTGAAGGAACCATGAGGGGGTAGCTGAGTGCTAGAATCATCACCCCCCCCCCCCCCCTCGGAGGAATAGCCCACAAGGACAGCTAATAGGGAGGGGGAGATGCAGCTTTCCCTTCACGGGTAGAACTGATCAGAGCGAAGTAGACTCCTCTGCTGCGCCGTCCTGGCTTGCCGTGTCTTTGTCTCCCAATCTGCTGACAGCAGCTTCTGGGCTGCCTGCTAGAGAGATGTCTTCCTCCTCCTCGTCCTCCGGCCCGCTGATGGCGGCTTCCGGGTCGATGCTGTAGAGATGTCTCCAGGGTCCTCCTTCTCCGGCCCGCTGATGATGCCTCCCGGGTCGTCTGCTGTAAGGATGTCTCCAGGGTCCTGCTCCTCCAGTCTGCTGCTTCCGAGTAGTCCACGTCTGCCAGGGCCACGTCCGTCCTGATGTCGTCCCCTGGTCCTAGCAGGTGGTTTCTCCGCCGCACACTGGCTCCCGTGGTACGAGCTGTCCCCCTTTTCTCCCAGGCAGACGGCATAAGAGGTCCGCTGGGTCACTCGGTCGGGGTCGGAGAGCCTGGGGTTGAGCCACTTTGTCCTCGTGCTTCTCGGGTCCCCCTTTTGGCGCCGGTGACCTGTGTGGAGAAATCTGATACAACTCCCTCAAGCCTACGCTCAGCTGTTTTGACCCGCTTGGAGCCTGTTGGTGGGGTGTCTTGAAACAACAGCCGTCTGTGAACAGGTTTTCCAAATTAATTGTAGACCTCCTATCTGCCAGTACAGCTTCAGAATCTTAATACTTGGACTGTGCCAACTAAATAAGAACCTCAACATCTTTAGGTAAACTAAATAACATATTTCAATAGCTCT